AGTTTATTATCAGTTAGAAGTAGCAACAGCCAAATAATCTTCGAAGTTTGATATATTCATTATTCTTATACCATTCGAACTTTCTCTCCTGGAATAACCTTTTGACATTCGTATGCTCTGAAAAATTTTAGAACGTTCTATAATTCCATACCCCATAATCGTCGTATGGATGATCCATTATACGAAAAACTGAGTATTTTAAATGAGGCTTAATTTAGTATAAAATTCACTTTTGTATCACCTCGTCTCTGGCGCTGAATCTCGTTATAGTTGTATTGATTTCATATGGATTTACATAGTTCTAAAACCGCATTCTTATTCACAAAATCCATATTTACGCAAAAATAGTGAATGGACTCCTGCTCCAGACGAACAATTGGCAGTGCCGCTGTAGTTTATTACCAGTTAGAAGTAGCAACAGCCAAATATTCTTCGAAATTACCACACGTATTTGATACAAAGCGAGCAACGATCAAATCCTTTCCTTTGAACAACGTTCGTGGTCCGGATAATTGCCGCTTATTGCACCAGATTTTTGCCCATGTTATGATCTTGCTAGAAAAGTTTCCGAATGATACTAAAATACAGAATAATTCACAGAGAATTTATTCATATGTTTTTGTTAAAATAAACATTTGCGTTTTTCTGCAGCAGGAGCAGCTGAGCCTTTCTTGCCATCTTGAATTTTGAGAATGGGCTTGTTTCTAGCCGTGGGGTTATTTCTCTGAAATGAAAAACGTTATATTCGAATGAAGCCAGAGGAAAGAAATCATCGAATTCTTATACTATAGATTAGTCATATGTAACCTATTAATGTATCATTCGTATGACCTAATTATGACCTTAAAATGATCCAAAAGCGCCTCGCTTTTTTTTGGGCCATTTTAATCTCATAATTCGTTCATGCGACTGATACATAAATGGCTCATTTATGATCTGTTATGATCTAAAAATGACGTTAATATGATCATCCAGTATAATCCGGTAGAAAGATGATGTAAAAATGACCTATAAATGATTCAAAAATGAGCTAAATATGATAATAAATCTATGGCCATTTTAAGGTCATAATTAGCTCATCAAAAAATGACCTTATTATGTGCCAGATATGTGACAATAAATAACCTTAAAATGAGCTAGTTATGATCATAAATGATCTAAACATGATTCATTTATGCGTCATTCACGATCATCAGATGAGCATTCAATGATTCTATTTAAGGTCATTTTCTTCGACCTGGGAAGTTCAGATTGGCTGCAAAACTTATAATATATTTGACCATATTTCAGTAAATCGGGACCAAATGTGGTTATTATAAATTGTGTCTTTTGACTCAATTCATTGATCAATTCTCAAAAAGAGAAAGAAGAAAAATAGTTAGAGGAAAACAAGTTGGTGAAAAGCAAAAGAGATCGAGGAACAACAAATGAACCGAAGTCTTGCTTATCAAAGTTCTATTCCGCATATCTTCAATCCATTATAGTCACTTAAACTAGAAATTAAACATCCCGTTACAGATCTATGCCACATACATAACAAGCAGAAAACTTTTAAAATATTCTCTCTCGCATCCAGTATGTGTCAAAACTAACCGACAACAGCGTTTCGTTAGTGTAGATCTAATGGTTGATCAATTTTATCAAATAGATAAAATGGTGCTGAATCACATTTTTCTATACTGAATATGAGTAGCAAAGCAACCAAAGATTTCTGACTACCAGATAATTGTTGCATATCACGCATTTCGTTTGCTTTACCATTAAACGAAACCTAAAAATAAAAAAACCATCTTTTATTAGACAACAGCAAGCGAATACAAAGAAATAATTGATACTTACTTTAATTCCAACACCGGTAAAATCATCGACAGCCATTGAACCAGATTGACTCTGGGAATTTACTTGGTCACTATCAAAATCCTGAAAAAAAATGAAAATATTTAGACGTAATGGAGAAAAATACACTCAAAACTAGAATACATACTTCATTATCACCTTTGATAACCAAATGAGCAGTTTCTTCTGAGATAAGACATTTGAATACTTCTGTGAACACAATGAAACCTAAAACGAGAATGAAATTATTTCTCAATTTAAAGCATCATAGATTAAGAAAATAAAACATACCTGTTTGAATGTAAATTTAGTTGTTTCTAATCGTTTATTATCGAGACTTTCAATCAGGATCGACAATATGCTGTGAGAAAAAGAAACAAAATGCCATAGAACTGTCCAGATAAAAGAGAATCAAAGAAACCAAGTGTTTATCGTATCAGACGCGCGTAAACATAAACAATGCATCAAAAATATATATAACGAATACATTTCCGAAAGAAGAAAAATGTTGAAATGAATTGAAAGCAAAACATACACTATCAGTTTTTCCACTTCAAAATCATAAGTCATAAAGTCAACTTTTAATGAAAGGACACATCAACATACGATCTATTTTTCCAATTCAAGTTGAAAACCAAAATGTGAAATTTCTTAACGAAAATGAATATTAACATACTCTATGTGCTTCGTCAATTTCATCTTTTCTTGTAGCCAATTTATCTCTTTCATCAGAATATTGTAAAAATTGATCCAATGCCTTTTTCTTAACATGAGCATATTATTTTAATCCAGTTATTGCACGATCTAAATCTCGTCGTAACTAAAAAAGATAGTAGAATATGTGTCCTGACTCACAAGTATTCTTCTTTATATAATAATTACATTTTTGACACTTTGTCTTTTGTATTTATCTAAACCATCTGGCGGTACACCAATATCATTTGATCATTTTGTAGCATCATCAAGCTAAAACATTTCATCTATTCTACATAATCTAAACACAGTTTATCCTTAGTACATACCTTCATTTGTGCTTGACGTAATCTGATTTCATATTTATCGACATTTCGTTTTTCTTCGTTAACTTTTTCATCAAAATCTTTATCGGATGTCTAAGAGAAAAACAAAAATAGAAAATTTTAGTTTTGGATTGTTATTTTATTTTTCTCTGCTTACTCGAACTTGTTCAAGTTCTTTCTGTTTTGTTCTCAATTCTTTATCAATGGTGGTTACTACCTTATCATGTACTAAAAGAAACTCAAAGCTGTTTTGATATCAATTAAAACCATATAAACTTGAATGTACGTTACTATCAATTTGTTCTTCATGTTCACTTAATTTATCATTGAGTATATCTAATTCACGTTGAAGTTCATCAGTTAAAATACGAGCGTTTTCTACTTGCATTCGTTCCAAACCCTATGTATCAATGAATGTGTTGCACACAGTAAAATATGGACAAAAAAAACGTGCAAACCCTACCATATTGATTTGTTCACGTTTTTTCCGATAATTATTATTGATTTGATGTTCTAGTTTGGTTTTATTGTCTTCGAACTAGAAGAAAAAGTAATCGATTAACACGTTATATCAACCAAGAAATGACCTTACTTCAACCCATTTTTTAATTATCTTTTTTAATTTTTGATTAATTTGTTGCATCATATCGTTCAGTGTATCAACAGAAGCTTATTCTTCAACGGATAATGGAGATATTAACTCGCTACCAAGTTCAGCATCCAATGATTCATTTTTTTGTTCCATTGTTGTTTGTAACGCATTTAATTGACGTTGCTAAACATAATACATCTGTAATAAAGCTCAAATCATGACAAAAGAATATTATTGTCAGAAAAAGATACTTTCTTTACAGAATTACTGCCTAACTAATAACAAAGTAAGTTCTTTCTTACTTTTCCAGGTCTTTGTGTGATTATTCGGTCAAGTTCTGTTTGAAGGTGTTTACTATCGGATTTCCTTTGTTCGTAGTTATCCCTAGAATATGAATCAGAACAAAGTGATAATCCTTTCTTTTTATTCAAATAATAAGATGAAAACAATTTATCAATTGTTTTTTGCTTTCATATCGTGTCGTTGTAATTCATTCATAGCCAAATTATGTTCAACATCTGAACATTTATTCCTTGTTTCAATGTATCATTTTTCAATTCTAAGTTGTTTAATGTTGCTCGTAATTGTTCTATTGTACGTTGTAATTCTAGACGCGATATTTTACGATCAATATAACCACCAGTTAAACCACCTTTAAGAGCGACTTGGTCACCTTAAAAAGCGATATCAATTTAGTTTTCTGTTCACTATTTTAAAAAAATAGCAACATTCTTACCATCGAGTGTAACACAGTCAATATCATGTTGTCTAGCTGTTCTTATTGCGTATTAAAATCTTCACATAACATAACACGATTGAAAACATATTGAACAGCTTTTTCAACTTTAGAATCCCATTTCAAGTAATTAATCAATGGTGATGCACCCTAGAAGAGAAACATTTAATGAGCGTACTCGTTTTAGTTCTTGGCCTATATACCTCACTTGTATAGTTGGTAGTGAGTGGTCTAGCTGATTAACCACTTTTTGGTACATGTAAAACATTTAATGGTAAAAACTTTATTTCACCACGTATTGTTTCTCGATTGAATTCACGTACAAGTTTCGTTGCTATCACATCACTATCCACAATATGGTAAGATAATCTAAGTTTGTAAAAAGAAAAAAACAAGTGTAATAGAAATGGAAATGGGCAAATCTAAATTCGGATCATTTCAACAAAATGTTGAAAAATGTTGATATTATATTTGATAATAGCGACAGTCGAATTATAGTGTGTCATTTGTGGCCATCTCAAAATAAATACTAGTCATATTTGTCTTTTTAGATTGATAAACAAGGGAAAGCAAATTATGTTTCTTTATAGAATATTCCAATATAACTACTCTTTCTTTTAAGATAACTCCAATGGCAATAGCATCCGATGCCCAACGTTTACAGTTGTTTCAAGAAGCGGCTGGAACAAAAGTTTATGATGAGAAGAAAATGATCCGAATTTGGATTTGCCCATTTCCATTTCTATTACACTTGTTTTTTCTTTTTACAAATTTAGATTATCTTACCATATTGTTGATAGTGATGTGCTAGCAACGAAACTTGTACGTGAAAAATTTCTATCCAGAAACAATACGTGGTGAAATAAAGTTTTTACCATTAAATGTTTTACATGTACCAAAAAGTGATTGATCAGCTAGACCACTGACTATAAAAAGTTATTTTACCAAAGAAAAAATTTGATTTTCCACATCCATTTCGTTCTACTAAAATGAATAGAGCGAATACAAAACGAAATACTGTTTACAAGAGGATGAATTGGTGTATGCAAAAAAGTTAGGAGAAGCGTAATTCGAGAACAGCTCTGGACAAGTACGACTGTCTTTTGTATGTTATATCTCTAGAGTTTAATGATAGCCAATCTACGTCAAAAGGGATTGATGAAATTTATAACACGAGATGCATCAAGTTGAAACAACAAAAAGTTTTACGTTTCTTTATATCGTCTATATTTGTCATTGAAGGAGTCCACTAGAGAGCAACTTCAAACTACCCAATCACCTTCTGTTCAACAAACTATACCACCTATTCAAAATCTTTTTCTCATTCTTGATGACTACAATCGTCTCAACTTAGTTAAGCTTTCTTATGAGACAGCTTTTCGACTCACAGCAACCAAACATGATATATCTGAATTGGATCATATAGCCGATCGACGTTCGGTTTTACTCTATTCAACTTCACTCATTTATGAGTTCGGTATGAAACTCATTACATTCATTCGAATGATTCCTGAGTTCGAATCACTTACTGGGCAAGATCGTTTTATGTTAGTTAAATACAATTCTCCTTTGGTATTTACCATGCGTTTATGTCTGAATTACGATGCAAATAGAGATCTCGTAATTGATTCAGACGCTGGAAGCGAAGAGTATGCTATCGCTTGCAGACAACTGGCGTGCTATTGCTATGGAGAACACTTGGATTTACAATCAAATCAATTATTTCGTTCGATCAAGAAGATTACTGACGAGGATCCAGTTATTTTGCAGCTAATGATGGTTATACTGATATTTACCAAAAGTATCTCAGTTGAAGATATTGTAGCGAAGGAACAGCCGGCTCTTATGAATCAAACGTCAATTTACGCGTTACGGCTAGAAGACATAATCAAAAACTTTGATATTTTCTCCCGTATTGCAAATCCAACATAAAATCAGAAAAAAAATCCCAAAATCAGAAGATCAGAAACGAAGTAGAAAAAAGTTCAAAAATCGGAAATTTTCTGCCAAAATCACAAGATCTGGGATCGCTATTGAAGAAGGTATATCGACGGGCTACT